AGGAATGAACTTTTACTAACTTCATATACTCCAATATTCCAAGGACAACCTTCAACCACACAACATGCAATAATCTTCTTTTCATCATTCTTCACAAACTGATTCACAAACTTATGTGCCATACTGTATTTGTATAAAGCTTGTGTAAATGCCATAGCATAAGGAAATGTTTGCCCAACACTCATTAACACATCCTTCCACTTTGAACCATTCATCTCAAGTAAAGGCGTAGGGAGACTTTCAATGGCTAAACTTTGTGCAGTTGACACTAGACTCATGCTTTGAATAAGAGAAGGTATATTGAAGCTTTCTGTGTCAAACTCCCATATTAGTGGAGAAAGTGAGCTTCTATCTGAAGGTGATACCATATGGTCTAACCTGAAATTTACAAGTCATATTAGACATTTATCAACTTGTATTAGGCTTACAATCAAGGGTAAATATAAGTGAACTTACATTTGTTGGCAATCCAAGTGTGATGGTTGTTTGGACTCTTTTGCACCCTTGCTAACATAGACATGACCACTTTTATCATTCAACTCAATTAACTATGCTACTCCTTTATCATCTATGAGATCTAATAGTATGCTTGTATCATAACTTGCTATGTTCTTTATGATACTGCCACTACTTTCAAACCACACATATGTTAAGATCATACTTTTCAATTCTTCATAATTCATCCCTTGTCTTATCAGTCTTTTACTTATAATCCCACTCTCATATCTTGTATTTCCCTCCAAATTCTTGACAAATTCACCCCCTTCATGGAAGATGCAAAATAATTGCTTTACCGAACTCAAAGCCATAAGTAATCCCAACATGTGTGTCAATAAAATGTTAACTTCAATTACTTTATCAAAACTAGACGAATTGATAACTTTACAATAGGAATTGCAAAATTAATGACATAACATAAAGCTTTTCACAACTCATCATACAATCATAGAAATTTCAATACCTAACAGCTTTGTATTTCCAAATTTTGATGTTGACACTTTTCATCAACTAAAAGCACTAACTCTTTCAAGCAAATCGATTGATTCATCCTATGCTCATTCCCCATACTAAACCCATACCCATACCCATAACATATGCATTTAACAGAAGGTGCCTCTGATTACTACAAATGAAAGTATTTTACCTCCGTATGATTGATTGCTGCCAAGCTGTCCTCTAAAATATTCCCTGGTTGACGCCGCTCCTGTTTTGTTTCTAATCATATCACATGGAGAAGGAAGAATCACATTACGTAGAGAACGCATAATCAAACAGGAGGTGGGGAATGAATCTCATGGACTTGTGGGTGATAAATGTTAGCAACCGCTACTCTCAAAGGTGAAGATTGAGAAATACAGAACTACATGCACACGTTTTCCATTTCGCAGGCATTTCTTCCTTTTATCATTAGCAGCTCATTTGTTTAGTATTTGCACTTAGGGCAGTTTTGTCTTTTTCTCATCAAACTTATTTTCAGTTTAGTCCTGAAAGATTGAACTGAAATTTTGCAATCTTTTGGAAGCCACCTGAAGATATCTTCTTTCCACGATCTTTAAATGAAATTCTTCCCTAATTTTTAAGTCACGCTTTGAAATTAATATTCATTGATAATTTCATATCTAATTTGGCATTTTAGAGAGGTCCTCGCTAAATGCCATCTCTAATTCATATTTTTATAGTAGTAATTTTCAATTTTAAAAGATAACATTTAAACATAATTATATAATATAATTAATTATTTTCAAAATAAATCACAATTAATTAATATTTTTATTAGTAATTTTTTTTAGCAAATATCTAAACCAACTCATAGACTTCATCAATTTCAAAGGGCTACTCATATCCTAAAACTCAAGTTAAATGTTAATTGATAGAATTTTTATTAAAAAAAATTATGTAAATTAGATTCCGAGATTAATCAAGGTCAAAGTGTGTCTCCAGACTCAATAAATACCTACGCATTTACTCACAAATCAATCGCCCACTACCAGAGTTTTTACATTGGTGTTTATGAGTTATCTGTCAAATTTTTATAAATTGGAGCATTGGACTACTCTTTATTAGTATATTGATAGGTAATTAAAGCTAGACTTCTTAGAGATAACAATGCATTATTCTCGATTGGACATGTCTTCACTATTTGTGCCAAGCTCAAATCGAACTTCGTTTTAATGAAACTCAAGAGCCATGGGCCCCTTTTTTGTGCGCAATATGATTCTTAATCCTTCTCCTACGCTAGAACTAAAGTATTCTTGAGAAGGGGGAAAAAAAAAAGACGATCCAGCTAAGAGCATCATGCCATAGCAACATTGAGGAACTGTGGAAAGAACGGAAAGAATTAGAACTAGATTCTGCAAAAATCTTCGACTTCACAAGGATCACGCTACCGAGTGGCATTAAATAACACCCATAAGAACATCGCGCAAGGTATCTCTGACACCAGTACAGATTTCACTGTGCCAACACACAATTTCAAATGAACAGAGAAAATGTCTCCGGAAAATCATCACAGGCCATCAAAAAGAACAGAAAGTCTTGGTTTCACGCTAATACACGTTGTCTACCGAATTACACTTGCACGCTTTCCCAAAAAAAACACCTTTTAATTTTTGCCAAGATATTAGATATTCCACCGAAACCGAAAGTCACATCACCTTTTAAATGTATATCACTGGTTCGCGGGAATGGGATAAAGCGAACAAAAGAAAAGAATAGAAAAGCATAACTAAATTTTCATTTGGGAAAATTGCCATAATGTTATATTTAGATATACTTGAATTTAAATTTAAATTTAAATTTAAGTTAAATTTATTATTTAAATAATTAAAAATGTATGGATTTAAATTTGACCTAAATTCAAATCCAAATTTTCCTTTAATCTCTTTATAATTTGAAATCTTTTCTAAATTTTTATTATTTCAAATCCTAAATCAAGTTCTTTTATAATTTGACCAAAATGCATAAAGGCTTGATTAACCTGCCAACGGTAATTGAACCGAACCACTTTTGTAATTTGGTCCGATCTCTATGGAAGTTGGCCATGCGGTCCCCGTCATCAGCATCGATCCGATTCCAGTGGAAGTCAACCGTGCGATACTTGTCATCAGAATCGATCCAGTTCCAATGGAAGTCAAACATCCAATCCTCGTCATTGCTATTGGTCCGGTTCTAGTTAATGTCGATTGTCCAATCATCATTATAGCTATTGGTTTGGTCTTGATGGAAGTCGATCACCCGGTCCCGATCATCGCTGTTGGTACTTATCATCGTCGTTGGTCCGGTCTTAGTGGTAGTTGGTCGTCCCATCCTCGTTGTATCCGTCAATCTTGTCCCAGTAGAAGTTGGTCGTCTGGTCTCGATGGGAGTTGGCCGTCCTATCCCCATCGTCGCAATGGTCCAATCTTGATGGAAGTTGGAGGTCCCTCCCGATCATCCCCAATGCCACAAGCCCAATCAGCTTTGTTTGTCTGATTTTATAAGTTGGCCATTCGAATCGTCAAGTTTGACCTATCTTTTGAGTTTTTTTTTTTTAATTCAAATATAGAGTCATCTAAACAAAGGATTTTAATATTGTAATTTAAAATTTTTTATATCATCTAAATAAAGAATTTAGAATCTATGAATTTCAAATATAAGATTTCAAATATGAGATTTTAAATTTAAATTCCTAACTTAAATCTACCGATCCAAACACAACTTAAATTTTTTCTTGGCAAGAAATTGTTTGGACCCATATCAATTTAAAGACTAAATACATATTAGGCATATTATGTTGCACTTGACATCTATCACCATGAACTCTATACACCAAATCTACCGTTTTACATTTCAAATCTATCACCTTACATAATAAAATTATATATTAGCCTTCAAAAACACCATGTAATTTATATGCTTTTCGCATAAAAATTTTGTTGTTATTTTTTATAGATGGCCACTTTTAGGATAATATGTTGTATTTTCATGTGTGCAAGATGATAGGCTTAAAGTATAAGGTGATAGACTACGTGTACATTTAGTTGCTAAATTAGTCTTAATCTCTCAAAACAATTTCACACCCTAGAAGGGATTTTTTTTGACAATTTTCCTCTTTGAGTTTTTAGTTATTAGTTTAATCACGTCTAATTATATTGTTACATTAATATTTTATGTTTTAATTTGAAACATAAATGGACACTTACATTAATTTAATATGTAACATTTACATGACCTATATAAAAAACAAATTTGTCTACAAATTAATTTAATTTTTACCTATCTAGTCTCTTATGCCATATTTTGTTCTTGTTTGAAAAAAAAAATTGAGTTTTTTTTTCCTACCTAAATAATTATACTTCTACTAAAACAGATTGGTTCATTTGTAAAGATTTGACTATATTCTATTAAATCATGGATTGAAATCTTATTATTAATATGAGAATTTTATTAATAGGTGATCTATAAGTAGTTTTTGAAAACATTCTCTGAGCTTTGCAAGCATATCCTGGCTAGTCTTAAGACACAACTCATCTAAATTTTTTCTAACAAAAAAAACATAAAGAAAATTATATTAAAGTCTCATATAAAAAAATTAATTATTACAAAATTTATTGACAGCTGAACTAATGTTAATGACCTTTGTAGTAATTAATTTTTTTACATGAAATTTGAATGTAATTGTTAATGATTTTAATTTAGTTGTCAATATACCTTATAATAATTAATTTTTTTATGTAGGATTTCAATGTAATTCTTTCAAAAAAAATAAAAAATATTTATTTTTATTAATTTATATGATCTCATATCAATATTTTATTATTCATGACAGATAAAAATATTAGCTTTTTTTTTTCAGTTAATAAAAACCAAATCAATAACTAAGCTAAATTTAAACAATTAAATTAATAAAAATTAAATTATTGATACAAATGGATAACTGAAAAAAGTTTAAATTATAAAACTTGCATTTTTTCCGTGTAGACATGACGCCTTTTCATGTTGCTTGCTTTTCATTAATATTCCAAAGCTCGCGGTCCCCAGCAGGAGCAAACACAAACAGAGAGATCAGATGGGTTGCTGTTTTCGCGGCTCAAGAACTCAGCCTCCCATGGAAACCTCGTTCCAAGCATACTCATCAGCGCCGCCACCACCAAGAAATCTCAGACAAGAGATTCTGTTCCAAATCCCAGGATGCAGAGTTCATCTCATGGACGATGGCGAAGCTCTCGAACTGGCACAGGGCCACTTCGAGATCGTCAGAATCGTCGACGATAACGAGTCTCTAGCCACAGTCGTCAGAGTCGGCGGCGGCGACCTTCAATGGCCGTTGACGAAGGACGAGCCGGTGGTGAAGCTCACTGCTCTGAATTATCTCTTCTCGTTGGCCGTGAAAGATGGCGAACCTCTCAGCTATGGCGTCACCTTCTCAGAACAGAGCCTTGGAAGCTTGGGGTTTCTGGACTCGTTCTTGAAGGATCATGCTTGCTTCACTGGTTTGAAATCGAGCAGTAGAAAGAATGATCTTGATTGGAAGGAGTTCGCTCCCAAGGTTGATGATTATAATCATTTTCTGGCTAAGGCCATCGCCGGAGGTACTGGTCAGATTGTCAGAGGTATCTTCATGTGTAGCAATGCCTACACCAACCAGGTTCGCTTCTTTAATTTAGTTTATTATACTACTTAAAAGCCCTTTTTTTACTATATATAAAAATCTTGGGATCTTATAACCATGTAGTATCACTGTCTAAAAAAAGTATCTACTCAGACTAGTTATCGAATGCTTGGTTCAACTTATCATACCAGTTTAATCAGAAGTTTTGAATTTAAGCTTTAGGAATGCATTAATAATAAAGCTTCCATTTCGTCATTACTTGATCTAAATTAGTCAGGACTCTCCTCAACTCATCTTACATTGAGCATAGGTCTGTTTGGATACATATGCAGAATAAATTCTGGGTCCAATTCAATTTTCTCAAACATAATGCCTTTTTTAACTTCATTTGGTATAAGTTTTGTTTTTTTCTCCATTTGAAAATCAATTATCAGTGTGTGAGCATTTTCCATTTCCCTCAACTTTATAAATATCATCAATTATCAAAATCAATTTTAAAAAATATTATTCAAATATAATCACGTTTTGTTAATCATTTTTTTTTTTCTATAATCAATTTTTGCCATTTGAAATACAAACACACCAAAAGTAAAAGAAGTCAAAAAGGCAAAAAAGCAGAAAGACAAATTTAAGCAGTGAGTTAAAGTATACTTCCCCTGGCTACAAAGAGTTTTTTTTTTTTTTCTTCCATAAACACTGTACATATCTATTAATTACCTTAATATTTGACAATGTTCCTTTGCTGCCCCGTAGCACAACCTAAATTCTAGGCTCCATATCTGGGTTATAGTAAATATATTAAACTTTGATCTAAACTTAGTTGGGAAAAGCAGATCCAGAAAGGAGGAGAAACAATTGTGAGAAGTGCTGAAGAGAAAAATGGTGTCATGCGCAGAGAAAGCGGCGGCTACAGTAGTTCTGGTTCCACAAACAGGAACCAAATGAACAAAAACCTGAAACGGTATCCAAAAGTGGTTGATACATACATAGAATATCTATATATATATATATATAGGTCACGAACTTGATCAACATGTGAATGAATGTGAATATGTGTGTTTTCAACGTAGGGCGAGGAATGTGTCGAAGATGACGGAGAAGTTAAGCAAATCATTGCTTAATGGAGTTGGAATAGTGAGTGGATCAGTGATGGGACCAGTGGTGAGATCCAAATCAGGGCAGGCATTCTTGAGGATGCTTCCTGGAGAAGTGCTCTTGGCTTCCCTTGATGCCGTCAGTAAGTCAATAATCTCATTATTTATCAAAAACCAAGTTTGATCAATTCAACATTTATTGTTTAGTTTGTTCTAAATATAATTTACGACTTATTAATCGAACTTTTTAACGTTCTGTTTTGTAATCTCAATATTCTTTCCCATGTCACAGACAAGGTTCTTGATGCAGCTGAGGCTGCTGAGAAGCAGACATTTGTTGCAACCTCCCAAGCTGTAACCAGATCAGTCACTAATAGGTACTTAAACCCGTGAAATTGCTTAAACAATATATATATATATATATATATATGTAGAAATCATATAAAACAAATCTTTTAGGGTCATCCTTGGAGCACAAAACATGTTAGGGGTATCAAGTGTGAGTTCACTTGACTTGTTGTAGAAAAAAAATATTGCATCGGATGAAGTTGGGTTGGAATAGAGGTATCTAAGTGAAAAAAACTTATAAAATCTATGTCGCTTTAAGATTTTGAGTTAAGATATGATGTTAAACTCACTTGTATCTATCCTCTTGGAATCATTGGGCTATCGAGCTATGTTTTCTCCTTTTTGAGATGCTCCCCGAGCTTAACAAAACAAAGCTGATATGTAATTGTATGAACAAGAAAAGGCTTAAATGATAGTCTGATGAATTTGATATATATCAAATTCTGATGAAACCAGTTACAATTAGGTCTATTTCGGTCAAAGCTTGGGTCTTGGTTCAATTTGGTAATGCAAGGATATTATCAAACCATTTGGGTTGGGTTTGAAGTGGTTCAGTCTTCCTAGTTCAGAGTCAGAGAAATTTTGACACTATTATATGGAACTTCTTTATACATTTTTTTTTTTAATGAAAAATGGGGCAAAGCCGAAACTAAATTAATCAACGAGACATAACATGAGGGTACCAAAACCCTTCAATATTTCGATACAACTATATCAAGAGCTACCTATGAGGCTTCCACATGACTAAACACCCATAGTTCTTTATATATATATATATATATATATATATTACCCATATTCTAACCATTCGTTTGGATAGAGAGAAGAATAAGAAAAACTAAAAGAGAAAATTCTTAAAAATAATACAAAAATTTATTATTTTTGGAAATTTCTCTTTCTTATTTTCTCTCCTCCCTAGCTTCTTCCTACTTTTCTATCTATCCGAACCAAGCCTAAATCCAGCAAAATCTATATACGTTTACCTATAAGTAGACTTATGATCTACCAAAACAAAAGTAAGAGGAAGAAACTAAGTTTTCTGATTGGAATAAAGAAGGCTAACCCAATGCTATTCTTCACGCAAGAATTTGATGATAGATTATAAGTGTTTCTATAAACACTTTTAAAACAGCGACACCTCCTAATATTCTGGCGACTAGAAAGTCAACTCACGTAGACTTTTGTTGAAAAGGAAAAAAATGAAGTGTCTCGATTGCATTCACATGTTTTATGCTGTATTATATGACTTGGTTCTGAATCCTTGATGAACAGGTTTGGAGAGGATGCAGGAGAGGCTACTGAGCACGTGTTGGCGACCGCAGGGCATGCGGCAAACACTGCATGGAACGTTTTCAAGATACGAAAGGCCATAAATCCAGCTTCTTCAGCCAAAACTGGAGTACTAAAAAATGCAATGAAAAATAGAAGTTTCAAATACTGAAAATCCAATGTTGTTGCTTGCTTGCTTTGTGTTTCACAATGAGAAAGCACAGTGTGTGGTGAATTAGTAAATACTAACTGTATTATTAATTAGTATTCATTTCTATCGTTTCCCAGAAAGCAATGGGAAGCTCTGTGATGTTCTTGGAGAAACAGGTTGATGAATGATGAATATCTTTGTGCTGTGGATGTAATGGTTCGCTTTGTATTTTTCACCTCTTTTATATTTGTTTTAATAATGTATTTGTTAATATCATACATATATCTAAATATTCAACAATTAAAACCATTCTAGTGTTCCTTTTCGCCATGCATAAATTGAACCAACAATTAGGATAATATGGGGAATGATGTTAATGGACAAAAAATGAAATAAATTTAAGTAGTAACCAAAAAAATTGGAAATACGAAATGAGGATTAAAGGTCATTTAGTGAATTGGCCTAGATATTTGATATTCTCATTCCATGATTTACAGCCATCTAGACATGAATCGGTCGAACATGCTACTTTTGCTAATGGTTTGCTACTCACAAACCCTTATTTGCAACAATCAAAACAAATGTACAAATGAGATTCGTTAATTACTTAATTTGTAAAAGAAAAGGTGGGGAAATAACTTTTTAAACATATAATTACTTCTAGTGATTTACTTCTCACATATACCTTGACTTTACAACGATTAAAACATCCATATACAAGTGAGATTTGTTAACTTGTAAAGGGAAAAAAAATTGAAAATATAACTTGTAAAACATATTACCACTTCTAGTCGTTTGCTATTCTCATTTCCTGATTTTCAGTTTGTTCACAATTAATTGGAAAGTTAGATTCATGTTTTCATATAGGAAACATGGTATTTAACCTGTTAAATACACACATATCACCGCTTATAGTAGTTTGTCACTCTGGTTCTGTAACTGACCCCAAGAGGGGAGTGAATTGAGTTAATTAAAAATTAAAGCAAATTTGTAGAAATAAAGAGAGAAGTGTAGGAACGATATCGCCAAATATAGGAGATAAAATAGAAGAGCTTGCACAAATGATTTATTCTGCTTCAACTCCTACCACTTGAGTCTATGTCCAATCCCTAAGAATCCTTGAGATTTCCAACTATATCACCAAGATTCAACAAGGCTCTTGGTTGCCTCATTATACTCACAAACTTCTTACTAGGTCTAAAACTCTCTCCCTTTAAAATGTAATAATAAATCCCCTTAAACTCTCTGAGTTTAAGATCCTCTATTTAGATTATGAAAAACAGGGATAAATAAAGTAAGTTTAAAAATGAACTACTACTATTATAAACTCTTTTTAAGAATGGATATATAATCTATGAAGCTTACAAACAATTAATATTTCATTGGAAGTTGGTAAAAATTGAATGTGTAATAATGGTAGAACTTTGTTCTTGTTGGCTCTATTGTTCCCTTTTTTTTTAAATTCATAAATAAGCCTATTTATAGTTGAAAACCATAAAGGATCTATTAAACTCATAAATCTTCCCATTGGAAGTTAGTTGCATTTGTCTCCTTCTTTCCTCTGAGTTTTTCTAGATATCTGAGCTTTTCTTAGTTTTTCTGGTGGTTGAAGCAATGTAACAGTACTTTATGGTGGAGGTTTCTCTTTATCTAAGGTAATGGCTATAAATATTAAATGCTTTGACAAAAGTAGGTGAAGGTTTATACTGGTATACTATCTTAGCACAGGTAGTACAAATCAAGAATGATTCACAAAGTGTTTGAACCAAGCAATAATTGTGTTTAGATAGATTATAGAAAGATTATAGACTGGGCACAATTGATTGCAAATGAAAAGAATAGGTAAGAAATGTGTTTCAAAGAGATTAATATTGAGAACGTAAACAGAGCATGAATTAACATCTTATTAACGATGCTATTTAGATTTAGTACCGGTGCTGTAATGAGAAACTTAACAATGACAAAACAAGGAAGATAGCATAGGTGTTGCTTTATTAGTATCGGGAAAAAGTTTCTTTGTAAAAAGACAATGATATTTTTCAATTTAAGAGAATAGAATGGTTTTCCCAAGGAAGATTGATAATACAAGTGCTAACAAAATAGAAAAGGTGTTAAAGAATACTTCAAAATAGCAAGCTAGAGAAATAGCACTAGTGCTATCAAATAGCACAAGTGTTAAACAAAAACTTGACCCTAAGACGATGAGAAATTTTAAAGAAGTTGAAATAGCACAGGTGTTGTCACACAGTACTGGTGTTAAAATGAGAATAGTACTGATGCTAACACATTAGTACCAGTGCTAACTTAATAGTGAAAGTATTTTCACAAAGATAAACGAATAGCATTAGTGCTAAAAGCATAGTACCGGTGCTAAATACACTTAGACAAAAAAAAGTTCTAGAAAGTGAATTTAGACATTAGAGGTAGCTGGAAAACTCTTACAAGGATATTTAATACTTAACTAAGTCAAGATTTCACAAAGACAAAGTATTTTAGAGACACGAGGATCAAAATAGACCAAGTATAGGATTCAAAGGTACCAGCTAAGTTACTTAGCTGAGATTCATTTAAAATTCTTTTGTAATCTTTGTTCTTGTAAGCTTCATTAAGGTTTGATTGGTGAAAAAGATTATTTAAGGAGGAATGAGTAAATAGGTTATGATTGAGAGGTGTTTTCAATTGATTATGTGGCTTTATAGATGAGTAGGATCTTAGGAAATTGTTTAATGTTAAGAGAGAGAGAGAGAGAGAGAGAGAGAGCGCGTGAAGGTAGCACTGGTGTGTTTAGGGCATAGTAGCTTGATTGAACAGGTATTTATATATATAAACACATATAGCATAGGTGTTACTCACCATAGCACATGTGTTATCTCTATAAAACTACAAATTTAAAAGAAAGGAAGTTTAATTGTTACCTTAATTTTGGTGATATTTAGTTCATACTTGTCCATGCTTACTCAACTCGAGCTATCACTTTCTTAATGAGATTGTAGTATCGGTGTTACTCATTAGCACAGTGTTGTTGCAATCATGTCTAGTTTCTCCCTTCTTACTTTTTTTGCATTTTCATCCTTAGCACTGGTGTTGTTTAGCTTGGCAATATTTAACTTAGTATTTTCTGAATTTTGCTTTCTTGAAACAAGCTTGAACACACATTAGTATCGATGCTAATCTCATAACACTGGTATTATATATTTAACACCAAAAAAATGTTACCAACAATTTCCTTAAAATAGAGACTTGCACTAAGTCAATAACCACTTTGATGCTTAAGTTAGTATAGGTTTTAAAATTAAAACTACAAATAAAAAATGTAAGATTAGAAATTCTTACAATTTATTGGGATTTAACAAACCCAAGTCTCTTATGTAAATAAATTGCTCTGCTCCAAGAGGCTTTGTGAATAGGTCAGCAAGCTGGAGATCAGTAGGGATGAACTCTACCAAAACATCCTTCTTTTAAACATGATCTCAGATAAAGTCATGATGAATGTCAATATGCTTGGTTCTTTAATAATGAATAGGATTCTTGGCAAGCATATTATGCTGGTGTTGTTATACTTGATTGGTAGAGTTTTATTCCAAAATCCTCAAGTTACTATTTCATCCAAAGTATTTTCGAGCAACATAACCCCACAATAATATATTTTGACTCTGTTGAAGATAGAGAGAGAGTGTTTTGCTTTTTCCTAGCTTAAGACATAAGTGAACTACCAAAGAAGTGGCACGTTCCACTTGTGTTCTTTCTTAGGTCCTGTGTAACACTTGCCCCGAATGTTATTCAAAAATCACACAATTCAAATAAACTAAGTGTGATTAAGGAGTTGATCCTAAAACCAACTTAGGAAAGAAATCATTTAAATCAATAAACAAATACACCATCACAAAATAAACATTTAAAGCCTTTAGTAAAATTTATAAGTTCTACCTATAGCGCACGGAAGCAAGCTAAGCAAAAGTGGGGTAAAAAGATGCTGTCATGACAATATTAAATTGCTGTCATGACAGCCCTCTCGGGCCAACTTTCAGGAGGTGCCGTTCTATCATTCAATCTCCAATTGAAGTAATTTTAAAGCTCACACATTATTCTTAATGATTACTAGTAGTGCACCAAATTTCAAAAAGATCTAACAGTTGGATTAAAAATTGGACATGTTACAAGTTTGTCATTTTTACTGTCATGATAGCACATTCAGACCAACTTCTGGAGCGCATCATTTCTTCAGCTGACCTCTAATCAGAGCAATTCTAGAGGCCACACGTCAAATTCAAAGGGTACTACAAGTATACCAAATTTCAAAAAGATCCAACAGTTGGATCAAAATTCGTGCATGTCCCAACATTAATCCTGTTGCTGTCATCACAACACCTCCAGACCAAATTTCAGAATGTGCCATTTTTCCATCTAGTGTCCGATCAACTTGTTTCCAAAGCCCACATGAAGCTTATAAAACATTTTACTTGTGACCCAAATTTTAAAAAAGTCCAATGGTCGGATTAAGATTTGGACACCCTGATGTAAAAGTATAGTGTTTTGGTAAAAAACATTTTCAAAATTGTCCAAATCTCATCCTATGGGTCACAAACTTGTGTGAATACTTTGGACACATCTAATAGGACTAGGAGTACCTGATAGGACATTTAAGTATTGAAAAAACCTCTTATATCAAAATTTGATCACTCGGGTGTCATTTTCCAAAATGGACCCTATGCCCCCCAAAATTTACAAATCACACAAGAGTGGTCAAAAACTATTCTAAATATCATATACACATATAAATATATACGCTAAATATTTTCACTTGGCTCAGAAATCTCTGTGGGGCCCACACGCCCACTCTCTCTATCCAATGTGTATGTTTGCCCATAGCATATCATTTGCAATGCAACCACTTTGCATTTGCTTGTGGAATCACATATATTTATATATATCAAAATAAACATTTTCTTGTAGTGAAAACTTGGTCTATCAAATAAATCCATCAAAATCACACACTATAACCAAGTTTCCTAATCATAAGTCCACAAGCAGATAAAAATTCATATAAAGGCATACAATCCACACATATTCACATGCATATATATATATATAATCACATCCTACTAGCACCCTAATCCTAAATACATTACAATGTACTCGTTCAAAAGAAAGGAGTTGCAATTTTTTACAAATCACAAGCAAACCCCTAGTTTAGCTCTTTTCCTCGTCCACCAATGGATCCTTTACCTGGACCTATAAATATTG